GACCCTACCAGCTGTCACCCATTGTGGCACCGATGCTGGTGGCGCCCAGGCGTGACCCCGCCCCCGCCGGCCGTCACCCAGCCCTGTGGCGATAATCGATTGTCTGTAGGGGCAGCGCCGCCGCTCCTGGGGCTACGAAGGGGAAGAGTGGGCACCACGCCTGGTTCCCTGACCTGCATAGTAGGGGCCTAGGCATCCCCCACGAAGGGAGACTGGGTTGAGGGCCTGTCTCCTCTGGTCCAGGGCCAGCATCTCCTTCCTAACCTGACCAGAAGGCCACGTGCTGGGGGTCCAGGGTGAGGCTGTAGTTATGACAGGCCAGGAACTGGGTGAGGGGTGGGGTCCTCCAGTCCCCAGAGCAGCACCATGGGGGAGGGGGGGCTCTGCTTACCTCACTTCATGCCCATGCACCTCTGTGCTTCTCTCTCCCACACATAAATTCATGCTCGCTAGTCCTTGGTGGGGCCCATTCCAAGACCTGTAACTTCCAAGGCTCTCTATCTGAGTCATCCCAATGCCCAGCATTGGTCCTCCAACCCTTGGGTACAACCAGGCTTGTGGCCTTCTAGCCCGATTCCCACCTTTCTAAGAGTGCCGGACTGCTGAGAAGCTGGCCTGGGTACCTACCCTGTGAAAAACCAAAGGAGCTGAGGGTTGTGAAAGCAGAGTGGTGTGGAAGTGGGTGACCCAAGGGGCTGTCCCCGGTGGCTTGAGCTAGGCCCTGTTTGAAGGAAGAAAAAAGGCCCAGTTCTGACACCAGAGGCCTTGGCAAGCCTTGGATGGAGGTTCACACCTAGCATTGGTACCGAGTGGACCCCCAGAGTACTAGACCAGAGTGCAGTGGGCAAAGCAAAAGCAGCTGGCAGATGGGATGAGCTGGAGTCTCCTGGCGGGGACATGCCCCGCCCAAGACTGATGAGGCTGGTTGGGAGGGGCTCCCCCAGGAGCCTTCCTAGAGAACTGCCTCCCCAAGCTCATCTCAGCAGGCCAGACAAAGCCTGCTGGGGACACACGCTGCCTGGCCATTGTGTAAGGGAGATGGAAGGGGCCAGAGGCTAGGAAGGCAGGGACTGAGGCATCCCCTAGGCCTCAGGAAGGTCCTCCAAGTCGCTTGTCCTGGGTACCTCCTTGCCGGGATGGAGACCACCCCCCTTCCTTCAGGCCTACATCTGCCCATCTTCTGAGGTCAGTTAGGAGACAGCCTCACACCAGCCCTAGCCCCAGGCCATAAGGAAGAGATCACTGGGTCAAAGCAGATGGAGGGAGCCCCAGAAGGGTGCCAGAGTTCGGGTGTTTGGGCTAGGCCCCAGGGCCCTCGGGAAGCAGCACACAGTGCCTTCAGTGCCCAGTGTGGTTGGTTGTACAGGGCTTAACCAGGTCTCTTTCTTACTCCACTCGGGGTGAGGGGTCAGATCAGCAGTCTGTGTGGAAGAAGGTTGTCTCTCTGCCCTTTGCACCCACACGCCTTTTTGGGGCAGTGATGTAGATTCTGTCGGCTGTGCCTACTCAGAATTCTCAGGATGGAAAAACCTCAAGCTCCTCATTCTCACGAAGAGGTGGGCACAGCTGTAGCATATGGCGTCACATCCCTAAGGAATATTTGTTGAGCCTCAGGGACTAGAAAAAGAGGGGGACAGAGCCCCCTCCCCTTCCTCGGGGCTTCTCCAGGGACACACAGGTTATGATGGCGTGATACTCAGACAGATTGTGAATAGGAAGTAAGACCTGGACTTCCCCAGAGAATGTACCTTCCCAGTGGACAAGTTGAGAGGCGGTCTAAGACCAACTAGCTCTGTTTGGCATTGGGGTGTGGCCCAGGCTAAGGCTGTCTGTGGTCTTCCAGAGATGCCCTGGACTGGAGATACCACCTGTCTGGGTGGATGCTGGGCTGAGAGCTGTGGCTGTAGCAGTTGGAGCAGGGAAGGTGGGTGAGCACAGCCTGGAAGCTTCCTTCAGTCAAGCAGGAGCCAGTAGCCACTTTCTGGGAGCCAGAACTGGGAGGCTGCTCTTTAGCCCTGGGATGAATGGCTCTCCTGTTCCAGTTGTGGGCCCACCCTCCTCCCAAGGTGCCAACCACCCTTGGGCCCCATAGCAAGAGCCAGGATGGAGGCCCCTCCAAGAAGCCACTGTGGAGAGCCTTCCTGGGAAAGGGTGGTACCTGCATGAGGAAGGGAGGTCTCCTGGTCCTTTGGCACTAGTGTAGTTTCTTGACCTCCTCCCCCCCCCGGGGGGGGGAACTGGTGTGCTCTGATTCTAGTGGGGTTGAAAGTGAGGCATGAGGAAAGGTCGGTGGGTCATAGAATTTGGCTTCCCAGTTAGTTCATCAGCACCCTGAAATTCCAGGGGCTCGTGGTGCATGTTGTGGGCAGAGGTTATGCCTAGCTGCGGCCTGACCAGTGCTTCCAAGCTAGGAAGGAAGGGGACCATCCGAACTCTGACCACTGCATCCCCTCACGCCCTTTTGTTTGTTTTTTGAGACAGGGTTTCTCTGTGTGGCCCTAGCTATCCTGGAACTCACTTTGTAGACCAGGCTGGGCCTCGAACTCACAGAGATGGAGGAGTGCTGGGATTAAAAGGGAGCAACACACACCCAGCCTCCTGCCCCTCCCCCCACTAGGCTAAGCAGAGGGGAGAGCCAGATCCAGACTTAGTAAGGAAGGTGCATATGAAGATGCCACGCGGGTAAAGAATTCCCCTAATCACAGGCACACATACACGTGGGGGGGGTTAGAAAAGAGTGAGCCCCAAGGAGCGAGGAGGGGTGTGTCTGTGGGTAGTTTGGTCGCCATGGCAAGGCTGGAGGGGTTTCGGGTGAAGTACGAGGAGAGCAAGGTGTTGGCTGGGGCCGCTTCCCGCGCGGGTGCGCGTGGGTCCGGAGCGTTCCGCAGCGCCCTCTGGTGGGAGGCAGCCGCG